TCTCCCTTCTCTCTCCTCTTTCACCCTTCCCTCCCTGTTTGCCCCCTTCCTTTCTTTCTTTATCCCTCTCTTCATCTCCTCTTTCCCTCCTAGTCACTCCCTTCCACTCTCACCATCTCTCCACTCTCACCATCTCCCCACACTCCCTCGCTCCCATCTCCCTCGGTCCCCCGATCACTCTATCACTCACTTTCTCCCTTCTCTTTCCTTCTCTCACTCACTCACCCTTTCCACTTGCCCTACTCTTGCTCTGTCTCTCATTCAACCTCTTTCTCCACAATCTCTCCACCTCCCTTACACATTCTCCCCCTCATTTTTCTCTGTCCCTCACTCTCCCACCCTCTTTCCATCTCTCATTCTTTCTCCCTCCCAACCTTTGCCTTTTCCTCATCATCTCTCTTTCTCTCCTCCTCATTTTTGTTTCTTCCCCCATCCTCCATCTCACTCATTCTCTCTCTCCATCCAATATTCTTGGCCTCTCTCACTTTTTCTGTCACTCCTTCACTGTTTCTGTCCCCTCACTCCTTCAGTCTCTTTCTCCTCCTTCCCTCATGCTCTTTCTCTCACTTCCTCCTCTCCCCCTCTCTTTCTCTGTCTCTCTCACTCACTCTCTCTTTCGCTCTTACTCTTCACAACATCTCAGTTGCACATATGTGCAGTCTCACAACGGTGCACATTCGGAAGGTTGCTCTGCCATCTTGACTGTTGTGCCGAACATTACGCCAAATTAACCTAATCTCTTCAGCCTGCCCTTAGACCATATCACTATATTCCTTACATAAAAGTATCTTAAACACCACTATCGTATCTGCCTCCACTGCCATCCCTGGCAGCGCATTCCACACTCCTACCACTCTTTTGTAAAAAAATCTTGCCCTACACATCTCCTTTAAACTTTCCCCCTCTCACCTTAAATGTATGCCCCCTAGTATTAGATGTTTCAAATCTGGGAAAAAGATTCTGACTGTCAACTCTATCTATGCATCTGATAATTTTATAGGCTTCTATCAAGTCCCCCCTCAGCCTCTGCTGCTCCAGAGAAAGCAACCTGAGTTTTCCTAGCCTCTCCTTATTGTTCATACCCTCTAATCCAGTCAGCATCCCGGTAAACCTCTTCTGCACCCTCTCCAAAACCTTCACATTTTTCCTGTAATATGGCAACCAGAATTGAACACAGTAGTCTGCCTGTTAGCCTAACCAAAATCTTATAAAGCTGCAACATGACATCCTGACTCTTGTACTTAGTTCCCCGACCAGTAAAGTCAAGCAGGCTATATGCCTTCTTTACCACCTTATCTATTTGCATGGCCACTTTCAGGGACCTATGGTCTTGAATCCCAAGATCCCACTGTACATCAATTCTGTTCAGGGTCCTGACATTAACTGTATACTCTTCCTTAACATTGATCTTCCAAAGTTCAGCACCTCATACTTATACGGATTAAACTGCATCTGCCATTTTTCCACCCATATCTGCAACTGATCTATATCCCATTGTATCCTTTGACAACCTTCTACACTATCCATAACTCCACCAGTTTTTGTATCATCTGCAAACTTACTAACCCATCCATCTACATATTCATCCAAGTCATTTATATATATATTACAAACAGCAGAGGTCCCAGTACAGATCCCTGCAGAACACAACTACTCACTGATCTCAGCCTGAAAAACAACCATCTACCGCTACTCTCTGCCTTCTATGGGCAAGCTAATTCTGAATCCACGTGGCCAAGTCACCATGGATCCCATGCATCTTAATCTTCTGGATGAGCCTGCCAAGAGGGACTTTGTTGAAAGCTTTACTAAAATCCATGTAGACAACATCTACTGCTCCACTCTCTGAAGACTTTTGTCACCTACTTGAAAAATTCAATCAAGTTATTAAGACATGACCTGCCCAGCACAAAGCCATGCTGACTGTCTCTAATTAGGCAATGATTTTCCAAAAACATGTAAATCCCATCCCTGTGAATTCTCTCCAATAGCTTCCCAATCACCACTGTGAGACTCACCAGTCTATAGTTTCCTGGATTATCCCTATTTCCCTTCTTGAATAGAAGAACAACATTAGCTACACAGCAGTCCTCCAGGACCTCTCCAGTGGCTAATGTGGATACAAAGATCTTTATCAAGCGATCTCCTTGCTTGCTTCTCTTTAAACAACCTGGGGCTCTGGGGGAATATCCACCATAATACTCTTCAAGAGACGCAACACCACTTCTTTCTAGAGCCAAACTGCCCTAGCGTATAAGTGTGCTCCATACAAATCTCACTGTCCTCCATATCATTCTCCTTATTGAATATTGACGCAAAGTATTCATTTAGGATCTCACGTACATCCTCTGCCATCAAACAGAAGTTCTCCCCTTTATCTTTGAGTGATCTGAACTTTTCCCTAATTGTCCTCTTGTTTTTAATGTATGTACAGAATGCTTTGGGATTCTCTTTAACCCTACTTGCCAAGGCCATTTCATAGCCTTGTATTGCTCTCCGAATTCCCTGCTTGAGTTCTTTCCTACTTTCCTTATATTCCTCATGGACCCTGTCCGATTTTAAATTTCTAAACCTTACACATGCTTCTTTTTTTTCTTTTGCCTAAATTCATAACCTCCCTCGTTAGGCAAGGGTCCCTTACCTTGCCATCCTTGTCCTTCCTCCTTACTGGATATACTGGTCCTGAACTGTCATCAGCTGGTCTTAAACAATTCCCACGTGTCAAACGTGGACTTGTCTGATAACTTGCCTAGCTCCTGCCTAATACCAAAGTAATTTGCCCTCCCCCAATTTAGTATCTTGTCACAATGTCCTGACTTATCCTTATTCATAGCCATCTTAAAACTTAAGGGGTCGTGATCACTGTTTCCAAAATGCTCTGCCACTGAAAGGTCAGTTACTTGCCAGACTCATTAGCCAGTACAAGGCACAGTTCGGCCCCTCCTCCAGTTGGATTATCCACATACTGCTTCAAGAAATCCCCTTGGATGCACTTAACAAATCTTGCCCCATCTAAGCCTCTTGCTTGGGGAAGTTAAAGTTGCCCACTGTGACAGCTCTTTTTATTATATTTTTCCAATATCTGCCTACGTATTTGTTCCTCAATGCCTCGGTGGCTGTTCGGAGCCTATGGTATAGCCCTAAGAGGGTGATTGCACCCATCTTATTTTTGAGCTGTACCCATATTGCCTCAGTGGATGAGCCCTCCAGTATGTCCTCTCTAAGTGCAGATGTAATATTCTCCCTGATTAGTAATGCAACTCCTCCACCTCCTTTACCTTCCTATCTCATCTAAAACAATGAAACCCTGGAACGTTGAGGAGCCAGTCCTATCACCCTCTCAACCAAGTCCCTGTAAAGGCCACAACATTATAGTCTCATGTACTAATCCAGACTGATAGCTCATCTGCCTCACCTTTAATACTCCTTGCATTGAAATAAACACACTGCAGCCCATTAGCACCATCGTGTTTATTTACCTGTCTCTGCCTGTCCTTTCTTTCTGATTTACTGGTCCTAACATGTACCTTCCCCTCAATCTGTCTAATTGCTGACATGCTGTTCTGGTTCCCAGCCCACTGCCACTCTAGTTAAACCCTCCAGAGTAGCATTACCGAATCTTCCTGCTAGGATATTGGTTCCCTTCCAGTTTACCTGCAACCTATCCCTCTTGTATGAGTCACCCCTGCCCCAGAAGAGGTCCCAATGATCTAAGGACCTGAAACCTTGCCCCCTCCGCCAGCCCCTTAGCCACGCATTCATCACTCCTATCTTTGTATTTTTTGCCTAACTAACACGTGGCACTGTTAGTAACCCAGAGAATACGACTCTCCATGTCCTGCTTTCCAGCCTCTTTTCTATCTCCCTGTACTCCACAGGACCTGATCCCTCTTTTTACTTATGTTGTTGGTACTAATGTGCACAATGACGTCAAGCTGCTCAGTCTTCCCCTTGAGAATTATCTGCAACAGCACAGAGACATCCTTAACCCTGGCAGCAGACAGGCAGCACACCATCCTGGAGTCTTGAACATGGCAACAGAAACACCATTCTGTCCCATAACTGGCGAATCTCCTACCACTCTCGTTTGCTTGGATCTTGGCTGACCCTGCTTTACAGCAGAGGCAGTTATGGTGCCACAGGCTTGTCTGCTGCTGTTATACTACCCTGAAAGGCTGTCTCCAACCACTACCACGTACCCCAACGTTAAACCTGTTAAAGAGGGACATAGCTGTAGGAGACTCCTACCTGACTGAACTTGTGGTGTTACTAGCACCTTGTAACTAGTGTCTATCATACTCTCTGGCCCCTGTATGTTCCACAGTGTTTCCAACTGCCACTCCAACTGAACAACATGAACAGTTGCAGCCGGTCATGCTTCCTGCAGACAGTCATCAGGGACACTATAGACTGCTTCCTGATCTCCCACATCTGGCAGGAGGAGCACACCACTGCCTATGGGCCATCTCTGCCCCTTTACACTAAGAAAGATGGAAGAATCTTACCTTGCTCGCCTCACTCATTGAACCCTAGTTCACTTAAGCCTGCACTTATACCAACTAACAGTACTAACTGGTTACTTAAATTACAACTTAATCTTTACAAACAGACCTATGGTCCATCCCTTGCATACTCTCCCCCACCACCACCCCCAAGAAGAATTTATGTTTATGAAATTAATGCCTCAACCTAAGTAAAGTTACTGCTCTGCCCAGCTCTCTGCTCCTCCAATCAGTGACTCTTTCTTCACCCACATTTGCTATTGACAGGTTTACTAATGAACCTATCACAGCAGTGTGAGAGAGAAACAGAATTTGATTGGTGGAATATTTCCGTGGAGGGTGTTGTAGTTTTGGTTCCTGTGTTTAGAAGCCTGAGTAGGACCCTTTGGCAAGTTATGTTTTAGCCTATGGACCCCTATTGGACAAGCTTGATCTGGGATATATGACATTATGTAGACTTCTTTTGAAATCATAATAATTGTTTGCTTATTTTGACAGGGTGCCGGCAGTTCTTTGCACATCCTTGAGCAAGAATTGGTTACAGTTCAACAGATTCAGAAATATTTTCCTAAATTTCAGTCCATTCCCATTTACAACGATGAGGCTGATCCATTGGTGGGTTGGTCGATACCTCAGATTTGGAGAGCCGAAGTAACCTACGCTGCAATGGTTGCTAAGGTAAATAGAAAAGTCATCTTTACACTTTGTTTTCTCACATAACTCTTACTGGTTTCTGTGGACATAGCAATTCTACTTCAAGTAATTATTTTCCAATAGTTTGACAGTTCATGGATAAATACTGTATGTATTGCAACAAATAGTGTAGCATTAAAATTGATAGTTTTGCTACAAACAGATGACTTTTATTCCTCAACATCGTTGAGATAGAAACAGATTAATATTGGAATGCTGTACTTGATGCAACATTTATTCATTAAGCATGTATTAACAATTCAGTTCCTTTTTGACTGGTGTGTTCCTAAAGGAAGTGTGCCATTTCAAGCAGATTTATTTAATTCCAGTTTCAACTAGAGTTAGAAATGTTTTAAGCACCTTCAAAACACCTGTTGGTCCAATGGAAAACATAAACATGCAAGTGTATGCACGGTTTAGAAAGAACATAATTGTTTCATGTTTGACTTGCAGATGCAACTGTAACTATCATTCTTAGTGAAATGGTTAAATTCAAACTAGGCAAGTCGACTCTGATTCTGATATGTAAGCTGTATGTCCAAAAGACTGGAGGGAATTATCAAACAATATGTCCATTGGATAGTGTGTAGCGGACGGTATGCCAGCTTTGTTAAATGAGCCCTGACTTGTAAAACTCAGAATACCATCCCCAATGTTAGGTGCAATTCTACTATTTTGGTAAATAATCTTGACTACACTAAAAATTACACAGGAAGTAAGGTTGTTATTTGGTCTTGCCAGGAATTTGGATAGAGATGCTTTAATTAAGGCTTGCTGCAAAAAATAAAGTTTCCGGAGGCAGATATTAGGAAGAGAGGAAATAAAGTGCAGATTGAGAGTCTTAAAATCACTGAGACCAACAGCAGCATGGCTTTCAGGAATGTAGGGAAAGCAGCTGATGGGCATCAGATGGGTAGGTTTGGTCAGTATTTCTCATCTTTAAAGTGAAGGTTGGGTGTGTTTAGTTTGTATTTAAGTCTGTTGACTTTGTTCTCTCTTTTTCTGAGAAATGGCTTGTTAAGTTTTCATTGTTAAGTTCATATCTATTCTAAGGGTAACAAATAGATTTTAGAGCAGCAGGATGAGCAGGTCAGAAGGACCAAATGAAGTGTACATCCTGTAGTATTTGTGAAGTCGTGGACATACCACATGTACCAGACATATGTCTGTAGGAAGTGGCTGCACAAGCTTGACCTATAGGTTAGAAAGGAGGTACAGAAAAGAAGAGAAAGGAGGTGGAGTTGTGCTGAAAATAAGGGATGGGCTTCGTACATTAGTATGGGAGGAAATTGAATAAGGGAAATTATGAAGGCATGAGACATAGACACAAATTGGGTGAGGTAAATCGGAAAACATTACAAGGCATAACTACACAGGCGATGGATATCCTTAAAGAACAATTACTTGACTTGCAGCAACCCATGCATTCCTTCAAGGTGCAAAAATTCAAAACATGTCAGTCAACCGTGGCTAGAATTGGAAGTTCAGGATTGTATAAAATGCAAGAGGAAATATACTGTAAATGGTAGGACACGTAGGAGCATTGACATACAGAGGGATCTTGGAACGCAAGTCTATAGCTCCCTGAAAGTGGCAACGCAAGTGGATAAGGTGGTAATAAATGCATTTGGCATGCTCCCTTTCGTCAGTCAAGGCAATGAGCATAAAAGTTGGCAATTCATGTTGCAGCTGTATGAGACATTAGTTAGGCCACATTTGGAGTATTGCCTGTAGTTGTAGTCCTCAAACTATAGGAAGAAAGTGGAGGCTTTAGGGCGGGTACAAAAGAGGTTTACCAGGATGTTGCTTGGATTGCAGTGTATTAGCTATAAGGAGAGATTGGAGAAACTTGGATTGTTTTCGCTCGATCATCGGAGGCTGAGGAGAATCTGATAGAAATATGTAAAATTATGAGAGGCATGGATAGGGTGGATAGTTGGAGTATCTTTCCCAGGATGGAAATATCAAATACTAGGGGGCATAGGTGTAAGGTGAAGAGGGGAAAGTTAAAAGATGTGCGAAGCAATCTTTTACACAGAGGATGGTAGGTACCTGAAACAGACTGTCAGGGGATGTGGTAGAAGCAGATACGAAAGTAAAGTTTAAGAGGCATTTAGACAGGCACGTGAACAGGCAGGGAGTAGAGGGATATGGACCATGTGCAGACAGATGGGATTAGTTTGGAATAGCATCATGTTTGGCTCAGACATGGTCGGCCAAATAGCTTGTTCCTGTACTGTACTGTTTTATGCTCCATTTTAAAAGGCCTTTAAAGTTGCCAGAAAAGCAGTAGTTCTGAGGACCAGAAGTGTTTAGAATGCAATGAAAGGAACCATGAAACTACTAAGTCCATAAGATATAGAAGCAAAATCAGGCCATTTGGCCCATCAAGTTTGTTCCACCATTTAATGAGATCATTCATGACCTGATAATGCTCAACTACACTTTCCTGCCTTTTCCCGAAAACCTTTTATTCTCTTAGTAACTAAATGTCTGTCTACCCCGGTCTTGTTTATACTTGACTACCCAGCCTCCACAGCCTATTGCAGTAAAGAATTCCACAGATTCATCGCCTTCCAAGAGAAAAATTCCTCCTTATCGCTGTCTTAACTGTCTTAACCCTTTACTCTGAGATTATGCTGTCTAGTCCTAGACTCTCCCACAAGGCAAAACAACCATTTCACATCTACCCTGTCAACTTCACTAAGAATCTTGTACGTTTTAGTACGGTTACCTCTCATTCTTCTAAACTCCCAAGAGTACAGGTCCACATTACTCAAGCTATCCTCACAAAACATCTATTCTGTACCCAGGATCAACATAGTGAGCCTTCCATGGACTGCCTCCAGTACCAATATATCTTTCTTTACCTAAAGGCATAGTCAGCATGGATTTGGTGATCGTGTTTTTGATGATATGGTATACTTAGATTTTCAGAAGCCTTTCTACTGAAGGCTGGTTCAAATAACTTCAGCGCACGGGATAGGCATGGATTAATGGTTGGCTAACATACAGAAAACAGAGAATAGGAATAACTGATCATTCTTGCATTCGTGGTCTGTGACTTAGTGGGGTACTGCAAGGCTCACAATATACATCAGTGATTTGGAAGTGGGGTGTCAAATGTAATATTTTCAAATTTACACTTGATACAAAGCTATGGGGGAATGTGTGTTGCGAGGAAGATGTAAAGTGCATTCAGGAGGATTTCTACACCTGTAATAAACAGTCAAGAATATGCCAGAGTGAATATAATGTCAAAAAATGTGAGGTTATCCACTTGGTAGGAGAAACAGTTGTGCAAAATGTTTCTTAAATGGTGTTGGGAAGTGTAGAGGTATAAAAGGACCTAGGTGTCCTTGACAATAAACCACTAAAAACTAATATGCAGGTGTAGCGATCTATAAGGAAGGCTAATAGAATGTTAGCCTTTATTAAAGGTAATTTGAGTACAGAAATAGTGAAGCTTTGCTTCAATTGTGTAGGAGTTTGGTTAGACTGCACCTGGAATACTGTGTAGTATAGTTTTGATCTCCTTATCTCAGAAAAGATGTTATTCCCATGGAGGGAGTGCAATGAAGATTCACCAGACTTGTCTCTGGAATGGTGAGACTGTACTGTGAAAAGTGATTGGTAAAATGGGCCTGCATTCTCTAAAATTTTGAAGAATAAGAGATGATTTCATTGAAATTCACAAAATACTTTAAGGAATATACAGGGTAGATGCAGCTAAGATGTTTTCCCTGGTTTGGAGAGTTTAGAACTGGGGGCAAAATTTAAAAATAAGTGGAAATGCCACTTGGGTCTGAGATGAGGAGAATTTTGTCTTATTCAGAAGGTTGTGAATCTTTGGACCCAGAGGGCTGTGGAAGCTCAGTATTTGAGTATGTTTAAGGTAAAGATCGATAGATTTATGATTGACAGCAGTGTACAGGGTTATGTATGGGTAAAAGGCATTGAAGTGTTCGATCAACCATGATTGTATTGAATGGCTTACTCCTGTTCCTCTGTTATTTGTAGCCAAAAAGGATATGTCCAAACATTGCATTGAATGAGGAAAGGGACTTGGAGAGTCAGTCCCTACTGCATCACAATGACAATGTTCTGACTAATCAGAGTTAAATTGCCTGAATCATTTCTGAAGAAGAGTCTAGGCCCGAAACGTCGGCCTTCCTGCTTCTCTGATGCTGCTTGGCCTGCTGTGTTCATCCAGCTCTACACTTTGTTATCTTAAATTGCCTGGTTTTAATTTGATCAGTTAGCTCAGGTTCACAGTTAACAGTTACTGCTGTATCTCCATGCCTCCCATAATTTAATCACTCAGCATTCTACTTTGACGCTATATGCGTGGTTGGTTCCTTTCTAAAATTAGTTTTCTTGCATTTCAGTCCTGATGAGTGCAAGTGGAAAAGTTTTGACTTCATTTCTCTTCTCAGCACTATTTGGAATACTTCTCCTCCAGGTGTTAAACCCAAATAGCTTTTGTGTTGAATTTTGTCGATTGTGTTACATTGCATGAGTTACAGGGCACACTTGAACATTTCGCAAAGTTACGAAAATCTAATAGCCTTTACAAAATATTACTTGCATGTAGTGGTGTGAACTGCCAAACATTGGTTTCAAACTGGTAACTCTCTCCTTAGCACATCTCATTTGAAACTCAGTCATTGGTTGGCAAAAACATCTACTATCAGAACTAATTTCTCTGTGCCAACATGGCTCCTGGATCATCATCATGAGCAGATATAGCTCTTGGTTCTGTCCTTTACTTCTCCTGTTCACTTAAATCCCCTTTCCATCTCCTGTCAATCCCCACTTTCAACAACAAATACAAAATGCTAATGATTTGTTAGTTCCTGAGATTTGAGCACATGAATTCAATTGTCTCTGCGCTTTTCTACTAATGGAACACACAAAAATAAAATTCTCCTTCAAAGTTCTCCCTTTGTTTGATGGCATCCTCTGTCCTGCTGTAGATTCTCTCC